TATTTTAAAAAAATCGGAACTAAAATATAGTGTGCTTATAAAGAGGGTGTGATTATATAAGGTGTGATTATAGAGAGCTTCGACTGTACTTTATGAAAAAAATATTCGGCATTGTTTGATATACTGCGCTAGACTTTTGCTGTACCGTTACATGTGACGAGATTCATGTGAATAGTTTCACTGCGTCTATTGTACGCGTCAAAGAATTTCTTGGCAAAGATCAGAATGCTGATATATAGCAAGAAGAGTAATATATCCATTTTATTTTGGAACATCTATAGAGACAGGAAAATTGATTAACATCGTGATGACATGTTTTAAGAAGCTAGCTGAGCAACAAAACCAACATACCTTGATATTAATTTGCGAAATATACGAGTTCTTTTGATTGTTAATTTCGATAATGTTGATAGTGGTAGGTTTGAAATTTTATTAGAAGTTTTTGCTCTTCCTTGATCTTTAATCTGTGAAAGAAAAAAGTTATCTTTTACTTTGAGTTGCAAAGTAATATATAGTTATTACCTGTTTCTTTTTTCCAAATCTAGAAGGAAAAAAGGATTTTTGCTTATATTTGCACAAGGCGGATAAAAGATTCACTAACTGGAGGCGGACATCTTTTTATATAATTTACAATAGGTCTAAAATCGACAGGGCTTTTGGAATACACTTTGGACGATCACATTATCATAGTAGTAATTACTCAAAATGTGCTATCCCTATTCTATTGTATTTGCAAAAAAGGATAAAAAAATCAGAATAATTGTGTATACACATAATATTAGATAGGCTAACGTTAACAGAGTAATACATCCATTCTGAGATCTGATTTACAAATTTAATCATCATGATAGGCATGTATAATATACAAATTCAAGGGGCAGGGTTTTTTAAAGTTGCGTGATGAACATATATGCCAGAACATTCGAGCGTCATAACTCATAAGACGCTTCGTATGATGAATATAACATCTTTTTTTGGCTGGTTTTATTAATAGATCGATCATATTGCGACCCTGCTTTTAAAAATAGACATATGTGACGTGATTACTATGCGTAATGCATATACTACGAGTGTTACATATGCGGAAAGCTTCTTTATTATTATAAATCAAAAGATTCATTATTTCACAAGATCATGTGATTTTTAATCTGAATGTAAGATCAAATATTACCCAATTACTCACGTGAAAAAATAATCAACTTTTATAGTAATGAAAAGTTTTTTTATTACAATATCAGATATAATGTGAGTTACCACACAAAATAAAATACAAAGTTCAGGACTTTAGTCCTATAAATATTTACTAATTACATTATTATAACCAGATTCATCCATATCAATGTATTTGTAAACATTTTTTAAATTTCCTACAACTTCAGATTCAGTTGGTGAGGAATATCCTTCATCCTCGTTTCTATATTCAGGTTCATTTTCACCTACATTCGCATTGTTTACATTATTTATATGAAAATCAGAAATTTCATGTAATTTAAATGATCTATCAAGACCTCTCTTACATTTGTAGCAATAACCTAAATTGTTATCAATCAAAAAAGAAAATATTAATATGCTATCGTAGATATAATGGCATTGTCTTTTAGATCACAAATATCTTGAATGACAAAATTGTAATAGTTTATATGTGAGTTTCCAAATGTATCTTCAATCTTTTCTGATCCATATTGCTCCTCACCATTTAACATTATCCTAACGGCACTGGCCTCTTTATTATTTTTGAGATTATCAAATATTGCTTTATTTTCAAAGGATACTTCCACTTTTCATAATAAAGATGGTAACAACAATTATTTTATTATATTGCAACAAATAAAAAATTAATTAAATGTTATAACATTATTAACT